GATTCCGCCCTATGCGGGGTTGCCAAGACCAAATTTTTGTTTTGAGACAGCTGCTAGAGAAATTCCATGAGAAAAATAAGGATTTGTTTTTGTGTTTCGTTGATTTGCAGAAGGCTTATGATTGTATTCCAAGATCAAAGTTGTGGTCGGTTTTAGCCGAATATGGAATAAATGGGTCTCTTCTTAGGGCAATAAAAAGTTTGTACGCAAACAGTAAAGCATCAGTTAGAGTGGATGGTGATTTGAGCGAATGGTTTGAGGTGCGTAATGGTCTTAGACAGGGCTGTACAATTTCACCGCTTCTGTTTATTATTTATATGGATAAGCTGATAAAATCAGGAAATCTAAGGGGAAACGTAGCTTTGGGGGGTAATGTAATCTCTGCCTTAGCATATGCAGATGATCTGGTACTATTCGGTAGTTCTGAACAGGAGCTGCAGAATAGTATTAGAGATTTACAAGCGGCCTGTACAGACTTTGGAATGACAATTAGCAGTTCGAAATCTCAGGTTATGCATGTGGGTAAAACTCGGCAGCTAACAGGCCAGTTCGTATCGTTTCTAAGAGAGGGCGCCACCATCACAAAATCAATTATGTTACTGAAAAGTACCATCCTTTCAAGGCATACATACAAAATTTGAGCCATATCCGTCCACTGAGTCAGAAGTTATAGCACTTGAAATGAACCAATCTCCAGCATTTCTCTTTGTGTGCGAAAAATCAAATTCAACCATGCTAATAAGGTCAATTTTTGTTTGATAAATCCATCAGCGAATCCAAAACTGAACACTTGGAGGTATTCTTCACCAATACATCGTTCCCCATCATTTTCATAACTTAAAAAAATGAAATTTCTCAAAAAAATCGATTTAAAGAGGATGTCGTAAAGTGTAGTTGTGCCTACATTTGGTATGCCATTTATCAGAACAGATTACAGAATTTCAATGCTGGTTTTTAAGCATTCCGTTAAATTTGAATTTTTTCACAAATATGTAAGTATTCAGCTGGAAGATTTTTTAAATTGAAAAATAAAAAAAGTTCAAACTAAACATCTTTTCTTCTTTTTTGTTGATTTAATTTTTCAATGGATACTTTTGAATTTAAAAATCACTTACGTATTGGAGGTTCAGTCCAGTGGGCCATTACTATTCCAAAGGTTAGTGTCAGTGCCAAGTAATTGGATATATGCATTTTCATGTAGTGGAATATTATTCAACTTTATTATTAATTTTTATTAATGAGAGAAATCTGCATACAAAAAAAAACTTTCAAAAAAAATTCAAAATCAATATATTGTGTATTGATGGGATGCAAAATAAAAGCAACTGTTTTATATAGAACGCTATAAATAACTGTTGATTCGTAATGAAATCGATTTTAATATATCTGAACATTGTTCATTGCACCAACGAGAGCAACAAAAGCTGAACCAACTATGATCATAATTATAATTATAGTTTAATGTGTGACACTTACGCGATTTCTTTTATTACTACTAGCAAATGAAATTCCTAGGGGAAATCACTCTAAAACTGATCGATAAAAATGAAACAAAAAATGAAAATATTTAAGATAACAAAATAAAGAAATGTTTGTTTGCAAGATGTCATTTAGGTACGAATACCGAATATGAGGAAAATAAATAAAATACTTTGTTTTAGAGGTAAATCTGCTAGGGGTAGACACAATAGAGAATGAATGAATTCCAATGAATTGTCATAATACCCATCTATTTTCAAATACTACAATTACTTACTTATTTAAAGATTACTTGTACTAAAAATGGGAATACCGTGATTACCAAATGTCAAATTGATATCGGTAATAAGGACTTCAAGTTTTTTCCATTTCGTTTTAACATTCACTATTTCGAAATTTATTTTAATTTTTTCTGTTTTCTTTCTGTTATTTTTATTAAAATTGTTTTTGCATTAATTAAAAAAATTGAAATAATACATCGTTGAAAAAGTTTTTTTAATATTTGGAAGATAATATTCATATATGCACATTGTGAGACGTTGCTGAATACATTGACATTTCGTCTAAAACTGAGAATACCAAGAATACCTTCAATTTCGGTGAATATCTCAAGTAATATTCCATGTGTCTACCCCCTAGTAAATCTGTTATTTATTTAAAATTGATTTCGGGATATATTTTTTTACAAAACGCAATGAATTTTTAAATTTTCAAATATCATTATTATTTATTTATTTATTTATTAAGTATTATTATTTTTAAATATCTTATTTTATATCTTATCTTGTATTTCCATAACCGAAAAAAAAGTTCTTAAATATAAAATGTGACTTAAAAATGATGAATAAATTATTAAACTAAGAAATGTTCCATTGGGATGCGTTCGAATAATCGATCGATAAACGAATGCATTACAGTGGTGAGCTTTGTACGAAGAGCTGGCTTCATTTCCTTTAACAACTCTTGTGCATTGGAATTTATAAATAAATTAAGAGCAGCTTCTGCAAACGAACAAAAGTGTTTGTGATGAGATAAATGAGGAAGGCTCTTTGCTCATTGCCAAAGGTACTTACGGATCACAGCATTGCCGCCAGCAACATTGTCGACGCCCATTTGAATGTTTTTAACACTGAAATCCATGTTGGCCTCTTCAACACGCAAATAAGTCATTCCGTCAATTTGGTCAATCGGAATGGCTTTGAAGTAAACCTTGACCTTTACGTCATCTATGAGCGAAAATGTAAAATTCAATTAAATCAAAACATTTCAACATAATTTTTTCGCACACAAAAATTTAACGTTGAATGGTTTTATTTCGATTTTGTTTATTACCATATTCTCCCCAATACTCTCCAGAACCACTAGCTTTAATCAAAATTAGAACGCCAGATGAACGATATTGTGCGCGAACACGAATATGTGGAATTTCAAAAGTTAATTGAAATTGTAGCGTTTCAATGTCGAATCTAAAAAAAATACGTTTCGCCCAAGGGGACCAAACCGTGGCCGCGCTGTCAAATCACAAATGTCATTAGTTGTCCCTATCGAAATCTGCTGTCAAGCAAGTTATACAAGGGGAAAAGTACTAAATACATCTAATACCAGTAATACGATCTAGTACAATAAAAATACCGAAAAATACCATGTCATACACTTCAGTACTACACAGTTTTTAGAGCATTCACAAGCGATCTGATATTCATCTGTGTGAAAGAGAAATAATTTGAAACAATATTTTTGTATCACTCTTGCTTACAATTTTAATATTACAAAATATTAATTGAACAAAATAACTGAATCAATGTCATAAAAATATGCCAACGCACAAGATTTTATATATATTTCTTCAACACACAAAATGTGTTAGTTTGGATATGTAAAAATCTAACCTAACTTCGATCCAATATATTTTTTCATCTTCTAATTTGTGTAGAGATTTTGTTTAAATATGAAATTGTGTCAGCTTCTTAGAAAACTTTTCAAAAATGTAAAAAATATTTAACAAAATCAACAAAAATGTGTGCATTGAATTTTAATTATTTCGGTTTGTATGTGTCTCGTTTCTCTCAGTCAGTGCTTTAAAAATTCCTCATTACTAAATCGTATTACTTGGTATTTTACGGTATTTTTATTGTACTAGGTCGTATTACTGGTATTAGACGTATTTAGTACTTTCCCCCTTGAAGTTATATATTGATTATTGTATTACATTTTGTACGAGATTTATTTATTTAGAAATATAAAAAAAGAATGTGAATGTGAACATAAAAGATAAAAAAAATTAATAACGTGACGAATTATGTAATAAAATGAATATTATAATTCAATTACTCAGCGGCATACGACTATACCGCTGCAAAGCGGTACCAATATATACAAACACACAAAGGTCGATTCGCTTTAGATAACATTTCTATTTTTTTACACCTAATAACGGCTCATTATTTTTGTTTTTATTTTATTTAATTAATTTTAGCTATTTTTAGATTTTAATATTGTTGAATATTTTTTAATTAACTTTTTTTGAATTTTTTATTAATAGGGATTGTAGTTTCATTCAATGCGGTCACGTTTAAAAGCCTTACATTTCTTTTATTTATTTTCAACTCATTTTTTATTTTGTTTAGGTTAATTTTTTTACAGTTTTTAGTTTTCTGTACATATATTCAACATGTTTCTATCAAATATATGACAATAGTGTATCATATAAGGTACACTTTTGTTCCACATTTGATACAAACTTGTTTAATATATGATCGCACAGCAAACAGAAAATTTGTGATTGAAGATTAAAATAGAAAAATAATTCAAATAAAATCAAATAAAAAATTAGTTAAAATTAAATGTAAAAGAACATTTTTTTATACAAAGAAGACCGCGTCGTTATGTCTGATTTTTTTGTGCTTCTGAGATAATTGAAGTTAATTAAAAAATATTCAATAATATTAAAATCTAAAAATAAGTGAAAATAAATTAAATAAAATAAAAACAAAATTAATGAGCCGTTATTAGATGTAAAAAATAGAAATGTTATCTAAAGCGAGTCGACCTTTGTGTGTTTGTATATATTGGTACCGCTTTGCAGCGGTTTAGTCGTATGCCGCTGAGTAATTGAATTATAATATTCATTTTATTATATAATTCGTCACGTTATTAATTTTTTTTCCTTTTTTGTTTCCATTCACATTCTTTTTTTATATTTTCAAATAAATAAATCTCGCACAAAATGTAATACAATAACTGTCAAGTGTAGTTTTGTTAATAGGGATTTGCAAGTTTTCGTCGACTTGTTCGAAATTAAAATCACATACTTTGAGTACGAAATTAAAGTGGCGATCAGTCAACTTGAATGATGGCAGTATGTCGACACACGACACGTGCATCGCATGACCAAACCCGTCTTATAATACAAACATATCAGACATCACTATTATAATTCAAGCGTTTCAAGAGTTTTTAAACACGAAGCAATGAACTTTACGTCAACAACAATAACAACGACAGTTGCTTCTCAATGAATAAAAATAATTAGCAGGGAACAACCGCTGTGTGGCCAGAAAACTGGTTCATAAAGTAGCATTTCTGTGATTGGTCAGATCAACTGATT